ATATTTTACCAGTGAATTAGAAAGTTCAGGAATTTGATTCTTTAATGTTTTCTGCCTAGTGTTTATTATTTAGAATCTACACAAATCTTGTGGAATTACCACAAACTTATGATAGTGACAAACTGAAACCCTATCCCTATTAGTAACACAAAATTAACTAAAACATTAAAGTGTAACTAGGGGAAAAACATTTTTTATTTTTGGGTAGGGATTAGAACCCTTGTCAGTTTTTTATTGTTGTCTGTGCCCCTGATATGGAGATTCACCCTATTTGTCATGTATACTGTTGTCATCAAAAGTGAAAGTAAACAAAAATACTAAATGTTGGGTTGACACCCCGGGATCACCTCATTTTGGAGGAATTTCCTCTCACATCCAGTTTCAGCTATAAGACAGGAAGTGAAAGGAAATCTCCACCTTTGGGACACAGTTGGCAAAAAAATTGACAGGCATTATAACCCCTCCTTACACTATTCTCTACGTTTTACCTTTAGTTACACTTTAAAAGTAAAAAATGATAGTGACATATTAAATGATGATCTTGACTAAATTTGAGCATGGTCAGTTCATTTACACATTACATTTTATGTAGAAAAATATTAGGTTACATACCTAAGCCAGAAGAGAATGTCACCTTCTTTGATGTCCTACTGGTGCTTTGGTTTAATTGCTTCATGATTCAATGGTCTGGAATAAGTATAAAGAGAAAGGATTTTTACACTTTTTTTAACATTGACACCATGATTGTTTTGGGTCTGTGACTCCAAAGTATTGAAGCCAGAAAAAGGAAAGCAATTAGCCTTTATAAGGTGGGAAATAGTAACAAAGCTCCCATGCATTTTGGTGACAGGTGTACTTTAACTTAGTTTTAAAACATGGGGTACCACAAGACTTTAATGATAAGCTACAGAGCGAGAATGACACACTTCTTGCAGTTCTTTAAAAGTTCACACAGTTCACAAATTAAAGATCAATTCATTGCTTCTTTTTTATTAGTATATGTGTATTTAAACTGTGCATTTGGCTGTTTTCCTGCAATTCAGTCATTAATCCCTTTGTTTTGACAAATACCTATATTCTTTCAACAAATGTGAAGAAAAGGCACATGAATATGGCATATAAACAATACCATATTGTGTTTGACTACAGAATTCTTTAGTTGTGGCTGGTGTGAATTGGGAAGCAATTTGAATGATTGACCCTGTTTTGGAGAACATATATAAAAAAAGAATCATTGAAGCAACACTGGCAGACAACATATGTGATACATTTGAATATGTCTGTGATACATATTATCCATTGCAATGGTTGACCGATGGAATTGATAGATTTTTTTAATTATTAGATTCTACACTGCAAACTATTTGTGAATTGCACATGAATTTGGATCTTACCAGCAAAGAAAGCTACAATATAGACTTAGCAAGTCATTTTTGCAATTTGTTATAGATACGGACATTGGATCTCTAAATGTAATTATTAATGTTGAACAGATGATATGTATGATCTGTATGCATGTGTCTTTACATCAGATGTAAAAAATCTTATGACATCATATACATATATGCACCAACAAGAGGGATGTGGTACTTTTTGATGTATATGTCAATTGTCCATGTCCATAGGGCAGCACAGTGGCTAAATGGTTAGCACTTCCACCTGGCAGTACTGGGGTTGTTGGTTCAATTCCCAACCATGGCACCACCTGCCTGGAGTTTGCATGTTCTCCCTGTGCCTGCGTGGGTTTCCTCTGGGTACTCCAGTTTCCTCCCACACTCCAAAGACATGCTGGTAGGTTAACTGGATCCTGTCTAAATTGGCCCTAGTATGTGTATGTATGATTGTAAGTTAGGGACCTTAGATTGTACGCCCCTTGAAGGTTAGGACAATATGTACAATATATATAATGTAAAGCACTGCGTAAATTGACGGCGCTATATAAGTACCTGAAATAAATAAATAAAATAAATAGTGTATAACTGTGTTAATAAAAATAGTGTACAGTGAATTTAAATTATACAATAATTTATTCACATTAATCTACTGTATATTTATACTATATATAGTTTGTTGGGTCTGATGTAGCAGGTGTTTTTTAGGCCTATGTTTTACCATACTTTTCTGGACATTTGAAGAACATTAATTCCTACTGATTAGAACTCAAAATGCATTTCTATAACCTTTAATATTACATATAAAGATAAAAATATAAACTTTGGTGTGTTCAGAAATTACTAAACATAGTTAAATCACTATTAAAAAAACACAGACATCAATTTCCAGAGACCATGAAAATGCCAATTGTCCTCCTTGATGAAAAAAAAAAAAAACAACTTACAAAGAGTGTATCTTAGCAGGAGCATAAAACAAATGGAAAAAGGTTGCTAAGACAGGTTAGGAAAAACAATTAGATTAACTCTTCAAATGTTTTCAGTTTTCTATGTGCTTGGAAATTATAAATACTCTTCATGAGAAGTGAGTTCTGATTTGAGGAACACTAAAATGATGCAGGACAGCTGACATCTCTTCGGATGCCTACTCTTCTGTAACTGGAGTACTGCTAGGCAACACTTAAGCTTTAGGGGATGTGGAGAATAGGAAATAACAAGGTAAATATACAACACACTCACCAGTTAGCAACAGCATTAGTTTGGTTGGGAGATATCTTCATTAGAGATGAGCCAATGGTTTTGTCCAAATCTAGGTTCAGACTGAAATCTTGTTGTGCAGCATTATGACAAATGCCCAAACCTTTGTCCATGCGGACACTGTGCAGCAGGAGATGAGATAATATATAGAAGCACCATTTTACTGGTTACTGGTTCTTAAAAAAACAGTGGGTGCTTGCACCCGCCGCATACAGGAAAAAGGACATCACTGCCCAGATATGGTCACTGGGCACAATTGGGCAATGATGGGTCTTAATATCTCTATTGCTATCATTTAATTAAATCTACAAGGAGGGGTAGTGCCTTTCGAAGACTGTGCTGCTAATTATAATTTGCTTTTTAGTCCTGTGCGGATTCACTGGAGACTGTGTTACCCCAGTCAATTTTGATGTATTCTGTAATAAAATGTAATGATTTTTTATTAAATAGTTGTTGAATTTATTCTGAGAGAAGGTATCAGCACCACGTCCTTTGCCTTTTGCGAATGGTTTTTCATATGCAATTTAGGGATGTGTTGACTGAATTTACCAACTGGACCTGTTATCTTTCTTTTTTAATATCATGGCAATGAAAAGTAAAGAAAAATGGCCTGGAATGCACTGGAAACTTCAACAAAAATCAGGTCTGGAGTAAGAATGTTAAATAGAAGTGGAAAGAAAACTCCTAACAGTATCTGTACCCCGTGAAGCAGTCAGCTTAGGTCCAAAGAAGCTGGTCTGGGCTTACACCCCTGCCCTCAAGGAATAACCTGTAATTGCCAGGAGCCTGGATATATACAAATCTGCACACTGCTGCACGTGAACACTTGCAGAATCTGGTTGTGGGGACTCTCACATGATGAACAAAATGGGGTTTATTTACTAAAGCTGTAGAGTGCAAAATCAGTCTCACTTCTGCATAGAAACCAATCAGCATCTAACCTCAGCTTGTTCAATTAAGCTTTGGCAATATAACTTGGAAACTGAATTTTTTTTGTATGCAGATGTGAGCCTGATTTTGCATTCTCCAGCGTTAGTAAATAAACCCCAATGCATCTTGAGGCAATGATTTACAGATTTTATTAAAAGCTTCTTATTAGGATTACCTTTCTCTCTAGTTATTTTTGCCATTTCCAATATACTGTACACAATATTCCATACAGTCAATATTTATATTATAAAGATTACCTGCTCATACCTGTCAGAAATTTGGGAACAAAAGAAATATCCTTTGACTATTTGTAAAAAAGACAGGTAATACAAATCCACTTCCTACAGGATTGGCCTACCCTATTTGAAAAATGTAAACATGAAAACATTCTTATATTTTTATACCTGGAATTATTACTTATTTCAATACACATACTAAACATGCACACCTTAGCAAAATTAAACTATCAATTAGGTTTACAGGATCAAGACAAACCTGGTTATTGACAACAAGGAGATGTAAATGTTAACATATCTTATGTGCTATATTTGTTAGGCTATCAAGGAGTACGTACAAGACATGTTCATTAGGCCTAGGTTCTCTACATGTCGGCTTCCTAGTGTTTGCACAGGCACAGCAGCCCGTTGATTTTTACCTAGAGAAAATGCAGGGGAAAGGTCCTTGCGCCTTTTCCAAAAACACAGCAACAGGGAAACCGCATAGTGCTGTGAGATTCCCAGTAGAGGAAACCATGCTGTGGTTTCAGTTGTGTTTGGGGATGGCAGCATCTGTTTTTGCTGTGGATACAGGAAGGGTTGTGATTACACACTTCCCCACATCCACTCAGATCTGAACCTAGTCTAAAACATGATGTATTTCAGACAGAAAGGAAAATATCTAATCCTGTAAATATTGCAGAGTAAGAAAGTGGTAGATTAACCACTGGTACTCCAGAGGATTTACCCCCCTTCCTGACCAGGCCATTTTTTACATTACTGTGCTTCATTACTTTAACTGACAATTGAGTGGTCATGCAACGCTGCACCCAAATAAAATGAACATCCTTTTTTCCCACAAATAGAGCTTTCTTTTGGTGGTATTTGATCGCCTCTGAGTTTTTTATTTTTTGCGCTATAAACAAAAAAACAATTTTGATAAAAAAAACAATATTTTTGACTTTTTGCTATTAAACATGTCCAATAAAAAAATTTAAAAAATCTAATTTCATCATAAATTTAGGGCAAAATGTATTCTGCTACATGTCTTTGCTACAAAAAAAAATCCCAATACATATAAATGAATTTGTTTACGTGAAATGGCGGTTTACAAATGGCGGTATATATACTGGAATTAGTTATTTACTAGTAATGGTGGCGATGAGCAACTTATAGCGGGACTGTGGCAAACTCTATAGCGGGACTGTGGGACTGCAACAGGCGTTCTGACACTGGGGGGAACTGACTTGGTGTCACTGACATCCACAGTGACACCAATGCAGTGATCAGTGCTTATTAATAGCACTGACACTGTACTAATGACACTGGGCAGGAAGGGGTTAACATCTGGCATGATCAAAGGGTTAACTGTGTGCTGTGTGTTTTACTATGAGGCTGTGTGTGTGTAGTCCACTGTAAGCACACTGCTTTGTATGGCTCTGCTATGCAGAGCCATACAAAGCAGTGCACAGAAGCTGACAGGGGAGAGAACTATATTGTTTACATACAGTTCTTTCCCCTGACGGTAATACTCGGTGATCACCGGGTGCTGGCGAGTAATCACAAGCCTGGAACCGGTGATTGAGAGCCGAGGCCTCGTATAGCGGCGCAGGTAGGGTGCTCCCCCTACCTGGAAATGCAAAATCGCACATATATACACATGATTTTGCACACCCCTGCCACCCTGTAGCAGTATTTCTACTATAGGGTGGCAGGAAAGCAGTTATACAAAAACTCAAACACATCAGTAAAACAAGCCTAGTTTTTAGTAAACAAAGTCTTTCAAACTAACTATTTGCGCCTCACCATCACTGATTTTCCTGTTTGCTTTAGAATGATAATTTTACATATTTTACTTGTGGCCAAATCTCAAAGCATGGAATTGGCATTCTCCTTCCTTTCTGGGACATACTGATGTCATGAGGGATAATAATCTTCAATGTGCATACAGACATATGTTTGCATTTAAAAACAACTCATATCCCAATTATTATCGCTCCTGGCAGCAATGACTTATGTGCTACCTCTGCACTTTATAGAAGGTGTTGCTGGCTGGCAATTTCTTTTTGTGCACCTTTGATAACTTGATCCTACACACCTTTGGTTCTGCTTAATGTTTCAAAGCTTTGTTAAACAGTGTTGACTATACAGTTTTAGATTGTTATTGCTAAGCTTTACCTTCCAATGTTGGTTTGAAGCTTTGACCTTATGATATGTTATACTTATCAGTTATACTGTACCATATTGTATTAATGCAGGCCATAGATTGCTCAAAAACCGGGCGTTTTTTTTTTTTGTCCGATAAATGAAAAATCGGTTGTTCGTTAAACTGACATAACCAACAATGATTACGAAAATCAGCCGAACAAGTCATAAAAATCATGACATATAACAGGAAATAACAGGTCACGGCTCATGCGTATATTTTTTTTGTAAAAACGATCGTACGATTTGACTATCATTGGCGCGAAAATCGGTCGTTTTACAAGAATTTTCCAACATGACCAATAATCCAAAAGTGGAAAAAAACGTGAAAACCGGCCGATGAATTAACCCACTAACAGTGCGAAAATCACATGAAAAATTGTCCGATTTCCGAACCGTCTATAGCCAGCATAAGTCTACTTGTCTGTGTGATTCTTTTTGTAGCTTGATGACTACTAATATAATAATAATAAAGTAAAATTAAAATACAATATAAAACAATGGCCATGTGGTGTTCTTACTGCCATTGGGCCCCCCCCATGTCCTTCTGTAAGAGGCATTTTTCAAGCTGACAAAGGCCTCTCATTCCCCATAGGTTTTGTTGATCAACAAATCCATTGAAAATTCTGTATGTGAAATGACAAACATAATGAGTCGCCATGTCCTCATTTTACCTTTTTAGCGAATAGTCAATAGGCATTGTGTACAGTATATTACAGACCATCAAATACAAATTCAGTGCTCGATAGTCTTTATTGTACACACAGCCCTTTTCTGTGTTTTATGAAACATGAAGGTAAAATTGAGGACTTGATTCATCATTAAGAATTATTTCTTTTTTATTGGGTATATTCAGGGTATTTTAGATTTTATTTGATATCTCTTATTATTGTTATGTGTTTGGCCATTGTGTATTGTTGTTTAAAAAAAAACTTAAGAATGTAAATTAATTATGCTAATGAGGGAACATTCACAAGAACAAGCTACACTAAATTGAAAAAAGATTCTGTATATCTTAGGAGCAAATTAAAACCTATTGCACCCTTGTAAATTATTGAAAGCCACCTTCATTTCACCTTCCCTTCATAAAAAAATTGAAATGCGAACTCTGTTTTGCTCATTCCTAATAATATTACTTAAAAAATATTTTTTTTAATTAATCAATAAGTTAAAGAAAACATTTGTTTAAAATAATTTTTGTTTTAGCATATTTTATGTTGAAAACATTTTACACCCTATATAAAACAAATCTAAGGCAAAACAAACCCTAAATAAAACAAATATATGCATCTTTCCTGAAATGAAGGATGGGATTATGTAATTAGTACAGGGTGCTTCCACCACTTTCACATCTCCCTTCTTGTTCTTGGACAATCAACATTTGTCTTTCTATGGTGATAGGATTTAAGTGTATATGCTATCTTTGTAGATATAAATGATGAAGTATTTAACTGACACTCATCAGAAATGATTAAGTAGCTTGGACAACCTATGCAATGCCTTTGAGACTGAAGAACACATTCAGTTGAATGTGACTAACACTACTACATGGCGATGACCTGGATAAAAAACAAAACCTTTACAGTCATTTTTAGGTATTTATATGTATGTTCCATTTTTGTTCCCCTTCCCCTTAAAATTGTGTATTTTGGTAAACATAACTACCAATGAACTACCTATTTGTTAATCAGTCTCTTGTTGAATTCTTACAGTGCCTTTTTTCCCACATTTAATTTTGTTAACTATTAATTGTATCTTTTAAATTTTAGGAATGTTTTTGTTCAGTATCAAAACTTTTTGACTGTTTTGTAAGTGGTAGCAGAAGTAACCTTAGAACACGGCCTTTTGAAATAATTATTACTACATACTGATAGATGTAAAGTGAAGCTGTTTTTTTTAGCGAGAAAATATATAGCATTCATAAATTCAGTTTGAAAATAGAATACAGTAATAAACCATGTTTGTACTTTAGAAACATTTCCTAAGGGCTAACATATGACAAATACTTTTATAGCAGATGTTTTAATTTTGTATATGTCAGGTACCAAAAGCTTTAAAGGACCCTTGATAGTTACACCTAGATTTAACAATTACTACAATTGAACATTTTAACTAGAAATATTTTGCAGCTGGATATTTGAATATTAGTAGTTTTTTATAAAATGTAATTAATTTTACAAGATTCATAAAGCAACAAATATTCAGTATTTAGCAAGAACAGTGGAGAGGTAATTGATAGAATTATAGATATTAAAGGATATGTTCACCTTTCATAACGTTACATGTTACACCCATATTAAGGGTATAGCATGTAACATGTTATGATCAGACCGGCCTCCACTCCCCGCTTTGAGAGCTAGCAGGATATCTTTTCCCACCTCGCTAGCTGTCAAAAACAAAAAAAAGCGGCCGTGTCACTCATTCACAGTCCACTGTGAATGAGAGACTACAAGTCCTAACAACCTTAGTGGCTGTCAGCTTGTGGTCCTAAATAAACTACAAGAGCACTGTGGTGTGTGCCGTGGCAGTTCATTCATTCTTCCTGTCAGTATATCTGCTTGTTCGCACATCCCATACGGGCAAGCAGATATACTGATAGATCGCTGGGAGACCTGCAGATCTACTGATCGCTGGTGCAATGCTATACAGGCTCCAAGCTATCCCACATGCACTGGGAAAAATGGTTGCCTCTTGAATCTCTCACACTGCCTGCATTTCCCTGACTCAGACTGCCTGCACTCACAAACAGCATCAGAGACTGGAGGAGACACGTTGGTCCACAATCTGCCTCCTTTCTCACCTCTCCTTTCTGACCTGTATCCTTGCCTGCCTCAATCCCTCACCATGACTTTGGACATCTCCTGCATTAACATGGAGCAGCTGCAGGCTTCTGTAGATGACACCAGTTACTCTGCTACCGTGTTTCGGCTTCTCTAGCCACAGCTGTACCACTAAGTACTATCTCTACACGATGCTGGTGCCAGGTCCCCAGTGAACATTGCAATCCCACACACTGTTGAGGATAACTGGCTGGCTGGCTGCAGCCTCTCCAGTAGAGAGCATACTGTAGTCCTTCTTGAACAATCTGCCCGCTAAAGACATATAATACTTTGTTGAGCGGGTAGAGTCAACCACATGGAGTGATTTAAAAATCTCAAACAAGAGGTGGAGGATATGGGCACTAAAGTTCAGAAAGTGGTACATGACAATGCTGAAATCAGGAACACTTTTAAAATAACCCAGAAGACCCATGAGTCTCTACACTCATGTAACATACGTGTAAGATTTGAGTGGATAGGATATGATCAGTGGCAATATGTAATCATAACCTTAGGGGCATTCCATTGTCATTAAGGATGTATTCAGTCCTTGTCATTGGGGAAATGAGGTACTCAGACAGTGGTCATCAATTAGCATCAATTGGCTTCTGAAAAGCCTGGCTTCCTCTGGAAGTGACACCTTTGTGCTAAATAAGGTTTTGTCACCTTCTGGGGAAACTGGATTAGGAGGAAGTGGCTCCAGACATTTCGGCTTCATGACAGCAGGGAGCTAAAAGTATATCCATCCATCAAAAGGGGTATGTTTCATCTCTCATAAAAGCTAAAATATTAGTTGCAGAGAGATGAACATACTCCCTTCTGTTTGGGCACTCTATAGGCTACATCGGAACATAAAAACCATATTTGTGGCTTAGGTAGAAGGCCAGGAAAATGCAGGAAATGGCTAGGTGGTGCTGGATTGCGACAGTCGAATGGTGTTTGGTACTGTCGCGATCGGGTCGATGTGCTGGTGTCGGAAATCCAATCCCTGACTTTGTGTTTCAAGCCGGTCTTTGTCCGATTGAACTTGGGCAGGTCAGCACCCAGAACATCCTGTGCACAGGTACAGGGGCAGCCCCCATGGTCAATTGGCCGAGGACTAATGTCACGCTTACGTCCATATCCCCATAAATGGAGTACCCGGGTATTGGGACATTGGTATGGAGCTGATCGACCAACGGATTGCTGATTTTTCTGACTTGCTCCAGTCTCAGGGTAAATCGTGGTAAAGTTTTACTTCTGTCTTTTATTCCCTTTTTATTTTATAGTGATTAGTCATTTGTGTGTCTTCTTGTATTTTTTATATTTCTGTAACTTTTTATATTTTGTACATATTTTATGCACTGCCCATTTTCGGGAAATTAAAGCTTAAAATTAATTAGTTAGAGAGAAAAACAGGTGGCGCACACACCTAGTGCATTATCCAAGGGTTTATTGTAGGAATTAAATCATAAAAACATACTCACAGACGAAGCATGTATCTAAAAAGCATAGAAAAATGACAATGGCCACAACGGCAGGCAAGGTGTTCTCACTGTCAGTGCGGTCAAATGGCTGACGTGTTTCGGGGACGAATCCCTTTCCTCAGAGCTGATGACCAACCTCTGATGCTGATGCACGAT